AGCCATGGTGTTTTCAATAACCTTATATGCGTGTGAAAGTTAGACAGTAAATAAGGAAGACTGTAGAAGAATTGATGCTTTTGAGTTATGGTGTTTGAGGAGAATATTGAAAATACCATGAGCTTCCCATAGAACCAACAGATCTGTGTTGGAAGAAGTGCAGCCAGAGTGCTCCTTGGAGGTCAGGATGGCCAAACTTCATCTCTCATACTTCGGACATATTGCCAGGAGGGACCAGTTGCTGGAGAAGGATATATTTGGTAGGGTGGAGGGTCAGAAAAAAAGAGGAAGACCCCCAATGAGATGGATTAGCTAGCCAAGTGGCAGCATCAAGCGTGGCAACAATAGTGAAGTTGCCCCAGGATCAGGCAGTGTTTGGTTCTGCTGTGCATAAGGTCACTATGAGTCGGCACCAACTCAGTAACACCTGACAACAACAGTGATGGTTATGGAGCCCTGTTTTGGCGCTGTGGGTTAATTGCGCCAAACTGCAAAGACATTTGAACTGCAAGGTTGTTGGTTCAAGCTCAACAGCTGATCCTTGGAAACCCTATACAGGGTCGCTATGGGTCGGAACCGACTCGACGGGACTTCACAACAACAAATAATTGTTATGGAGGATGGGGGTGATTATTCACATCTATTGGGTAGACATTTGTTCACAAGGGTGACAGGGCAGGCAATATACAAGAAGAGGGAGATTAGCCGGGGAAAGATGAAGGTAATGGGAGATGCAGGGAGGAATGCAACAGTTAAGTGAATAGAGATGAATAACTGTTAACTGTTTTGTACATGGAGGGGATTATAACCACGTAATGGATCGCAAGATTGGTTTGAACCATAAGGTCAATGGTTCAAACTCACCAGCCATTCCTTGGAAACCCTATACAGGGTCACTATGAGTCAGAACTGACTCGATGGCACTTAACAAATGAAGCAAAGTATATGATTTTTTTTTTTTGTAAAACTGATAATCTACTCTGTAAACCTTAACTCAATTCACAGTAAAATGTTGGAAAAAAAAAAAAATTAAAACCCAAACTAAATCTCTTGCCATTAAGTCAATTCCACTTTATAGTTACCCTGTAGGATAGAGTAGAGCTGCTTCATTGGGTTTCCAAAGATGTGTTCTTTATGAAAATAGATCATTAGGCCTTTCTGGGGGGGTTTTGTGTTTTAAAAGTTTTTATTGTGAATTGAGTGATAATTTACATGGGGGAATATTCATTTCATTACAATGATTACAATCCCCTGCATGCTTCATCATTCACCAGTATTTGCTACTATTACCTGTCTTTTTTTTTTTTTTTCTTCTAATTCACACGTGCACCAAAACACCCAGGAATATAAAAACAGCCAAAGGTCACACCCTGAAAGCCTGCCCCCAGCTGCCTGCACACATCCCTTTTCCCTCCAGGCGTCCTCAGCTGTTTTGTCTCTCATGTCATCATCTCTGCCTCTATCTCTGGTGTTGCCGCTTCTCTGGATAGGGTCCCACACTCCTCTCCTGCTCTTCTCCCTTGATGCTCCCAGGGTCCTCTGCTCTGGGACTATAATATCAACCACTCACCTTTTTTGTTACAAAACTTCTACCTTTACAGTTGGAGCAGTCGCAATTAGTCATGATAATAATTACTCACTATTGAATTATGAGAGTCTTGTCCCCCTCTCCTTTCATCTGGTGGGTTTTTAACCCCTGCACTACGATCACAGACTAAAAATCCAATGGAACATCTCTACTCCTGATACATATGGGGTCACCTTGAGGCGGAATCATCATGATGGCAAAAGGTCTGGATTTAGACTTTGTGTTGTTGCTAGGTACCGTGGAGTCTCTTGCTACTCATAATGACCCGATGTGTAACAGAACAGAACATTGTCCAGTCCTACACCATCCTCACAATTGTTGTTATGTTTGAGCCTTAGACCTTGCACTAAGAGCTGAAACTGTTCTCGTGTTTAATCCTCCCAGTAATCCTGAGAGTTCTGTATTATTGCTCCATTTTACAGGTGATGAGCTGAAGCGTAGAGACTATATAACGTACCTAAGATTCCATGCTCTTTGAGCAGTAGAGCCTGGTTTTGAAGTCCTCGCTGTCTGATTCTAGAACTTATGTTCTTTGCTTTAACGTACAGCATTTATGTAGAGGTCTACAGTCGAGTCTAAGTAAGGAAATCATGGAATGTACAGATACTGAAAAAATTGCCAGGATGTCTGCCCCAGTATTATACAGACAATTTTCTATAACAAGAGAGCAACAACAACCATAAAATGGGTTGTTAAAATGTTTCAATGATTCCTTTTCATTCACCTGCTTCTAGAGCACATAGCACCTCAGCCTGGACTGGCATCATCCTGTTCAAAAAAGGAAATCGCTTTTTTGTATGACTCCTATTGTGGTAGTTATCATCTTGGTTGACACCATTCCTAATTGCTAAATCACTTTAAATAAAAAAAAAATTGGTCTAATAAGCAAGCCAGGTTGGCTTTTAGTTTCAAATGTGTGATGGCTATTTATTACCAACATTAAATCTTTTATTCGTAATGAGACATGAAACTAGAAAGTGGGTGAGGTCTAAAGTTGGTATTAGACTTTCTGACTGGCATTTCTATTTATTAAAGACAGTGGTGAGACTGAGATGGATATTTTGTTGTTGTGTTTTGTTTTGCTTTTTTACAGTAGAAACACATCTATATTTTAGTTTGCTTAAAATTGGATTTTGCTTTATCTATTTGATAATTAAAATATGTGGTTCTAGAAGTTTCGATCTTTGGGATTTGGTGGGCTGTCCTTGATAGCTGTTTTTGGAAATGAAAGTTCTTACTGGGTTATCACTGAGCAGTGTATTCATGTCATCCTACAAGATTCATCAAGAAATGCTGCATCTGGGGTTCCAGTTCATATGCATGAGCTAATTCCAAACAAAACATGTTTAAACAGGTCTTTGCAGTCAACAGATGGCTGTAGACAAGTTTTTTCAGTTATACACTTGTTTGAGTCTTGTTAGGGTCTAATAGGGAAAATTTAAAAAGGTCCAGTCAAAACATTAGTTTCCGAAAAAAATCTGCTGGGCCAGTTAAATTCAAGGCAGAGAGGCCAGTTCAGAAGGTTATGGTGACTGGGTGTTTTGGGGGGATTCTCAAGGAGCAATCTTGGTAGATTTTCTCAAAGGACACAGGATAATCACGGGTACTTATTAGGAAGTTTTAAGAAAATGGAAAATTACACTGGCCAGGAAAGTTGCACTGAGGAATTTTTCCCCATGACGATGATGTCTCTACTCATTCTTTGAGAATTTTGTTGGGAAACCTTACACCAACCACCCTACAGCACTGATTTTGTCCCTTCAAGCTTCTTTTTGTTCTCCAAACTCAACATTTAAAAGAAACACTATTCTAAGTCCTTGAAGGATGCCAAAACTACTGTTTAGATGTGGTGTATAAATCAAAGAGCTTAGAATTCTTCAGGAAAGGGTTAGAGAAATGGAAACACCACCTGTACAAGTATATGGACCCTGTTATTGCTGGCTCCTACTCATAGGATGACAGTCTGCCCAGTCTTGTACCGTCCTCACAATTGTTGCTATGTGTGAGCCCACTGTCGTTAGCACTGTGGCAGTCGATCTCACTTGGGGTCTTCCCTGTTTTGCGGACCATATACTTTACTGAGTCCTTCTCCCCACTGAAAAAATGTCCAAAGTGTGTAATCTGAAGTCTCCCCATTGCTCATCTAAGGAGTAATCCTGGCTGTACTTTTTTCAACACACATGTTTGTCCTTCAGGCAGTCCATGGTATATTTAATATTCTATACCCACACCATAATTCAAATGCATTTTTCTCTAGTATTCCATATTCATTGTGTAACTTCCATGTGCATATATTGTTATTGTTAAGTGCCATCAAGTCGGTTCCAACCCATAGTAACACTGTATAGGGTTTCCAAGGAGTATCTGGTGAGCTTGAACTACCGACCTTGTGGTTCAAACCGACTTTGCAGTCTAGAGCATTAACCCACAGTGCCACACCAGGACTCCCATGTGCATATGATGGTGGTGGTGATAGTTATATGCCGTGGAGTTGGTTCTGACTTATAATGACCTTGTATAGGGTTTCCGAGCCTGTAAATCTTTACGGGAGCAGAGAGAGCCTTATCTTTCTCCCACAGAACGGCTGGTAGTTTCAAACTGCTGACCTTGGATTGCAAATATCATGGTTTGGGTAAGGCACTTCTTAGTCTTCAAAGTGATATCATTGCTTTTTAACACTTCAAGTCTTCTTTTAGCAAGCAAGGTTATGTCCTCTGCATATGGAAGGTTGTTAGTAATCCTTTTGTTCAGCCCTAATGCCGTCTTCTTGCCATCCAGCTTTCTTAGATTATTTGCTCAGCATGCAGATTGAGTAAGTATAGTGAAGGGATATTTATGCTTATGAAATCCTTTATGCACACCTTTTCTATCTTTAAACCACTCAGTATCCCCTTGTTCTGTTCAAATGACAATCTTTTAGTCTACGTATTTATTCCACATGAACACAATTAATTGTTCTGGAATTTCCATTCTTCTCAATGTTATTCATAGTTTGTTATGAACATAACAGTCAAATAGTCAGTGAAACACAGATAAATGTCTTCTCCTATTTTCTGACATCAGCAATGATATCACTAGTTCCATTTCCTCTTCTGAATCCAGCTTGGATCTTTGGTAGTTCCCTGTTGACAAACTGCTGTAAATTATTTTTTAATGATCTTCAGCAAAGTTTTATTTGTGTACGATATTCATGATAGACCTCGATCAAGGATATGTTGATGTAATAGCTCCACATTTTTATATATTTGTTTAATAAAGGTTTGTATGATTTTATAGCAGTACATTTGCTCTTGCATGTAGGTAGTAGAGGATTTTGCGTGGCATCAAGAAGGGAGAAGCGGACCTGTGACAATGTAGAAAAACTCTAAGGTGCCAATGTTACAATAATAGGTCTGTTTTTCTCTTCTTTCAGACTGGTCGAATTGACAAATCCTACCCTACAGTATGTGGCCACACGGGACCAGTGCTCGACATAGACTGGTGCCCACATAATGACCAAGTCATTGCCAGCGGGTCCGAGGACTGCACAGTTATGGTAAGCTCCCTGGAGTGCCGTACATGCACAGTTCTTGGCTTCCTGCCTACTACTTTCACAAAGTGTGTGTGTGTGTAGGTCTGAAAAGCAGAAGGGAATCACATCTGATTGGCCCACTGGATTCTACAAGGATTTAGTAACTACATTAAAGTTTAACAACAGATAAGTCTTTGAATTGTCCCTATGGTAAGAGGTTGATACTATCTTTTTCTTCTCTCTTTTGGGGGTGAGTGTATGTCTGTAATGTTTGTCACCAGTTGATACCTGCTCTGGGGAGGTTTTCAAGAAAGCCTGATGACTTTCCAATAGTTCTGTGAATGCTGTTTGACCTCTTGACCCGCGCCCCAGAAAGGAGAGAAAAGGCTGTTGACACAGTCTACAGCAGTGAAACAAGCTGCCAGAGGGATGTATGAACAGGGAAGGGACACCTCTGAAGATGTAATAAGGGTTTTCATACATGCTAGCTTCCAATTGAATGTCAGAAGATGTTTACTCACCAGTGGACCCTGGCTCCAAACACCCTCCTAATGCAAATACACAAAAAGACTTCAAAGATTGAATATGCCGTCTACACACCCTGGTTTACATTCCCAAAGTAGGTCATTTTAGTGAGCTATGGCGTTTGGCGAAGTGAAACCAAGCTTTGGAATTCCCTGCCCCTTTCATTTATAATTTCTTATTGTTGAGAATGTAAGCAGCTAAACCTATAGAAATTCCGTAGTGTCTGCACATACAGTCAGTGATGTTGATGACATTCTACCAGTTGTACAACCATTCTCACCCTCCCATTCCAAGTTGTTCCTCCCTTCCCCTTGAGCATAAATTCACTGTCCCCTACAGTTCCTCTCTAATCTTTCAGGTTGTTGTTGTCAATTTGATCCTGTATTGGTAGTTCTTAAAAGACCATAATGCTCAAGGTAGACATTCTTTACCAGTTAAGCCAGGGATGGGGAACCTTTTTTCTGCCAAAGGCGATTTGGATATTTATAATATCACAATGTAAATGTATGTTGCTATGAAAAAAAGCTCCTATGTTTATTCCATTTCGAGTCCTGCCTGCAGTTGCCTTGGACAGAGCCAGACCAAATGATTTGCAGGTTTATACAGCCTGTGGGCCGGACATTCCCCACACCTGAGTTAAGCTATGCTGTTTTTAAAAGACTTTGGTTTGAGGTTTAAATTTTATCTCAGGTAAATATTTTCAGGGGTGCATCTAACCTCCATGACTCCAGAAAATATAGATTCCATGAGAATTTGAAATCCAGTTCTGCATTTTTCCCTTCTTGTTCTTGACTGTATTTTTAAGCATTAAAATTGAACTATGGGTTTGGACGCATTGACAGAGAACTTCCAGAGATTCAAGCTGGATTCAGAAGAGGACGTGGAATGAGGGATATAATTGCTGATGTCTTATGGATCTTGGCTGAAAGCAGAGAATATCAGAAAGATGTTTACTTGTGCTTCATTGACTACACAAAGGCTTTCGATTGTGTAGATCATGACAAGCTATGGACAACATTGGTTTAAAATTAAGAAAGGTGTGCTACAGGGGTTGTATTCTTTCACCATGTTTATTCAGCCTGTATGCTGAGCAAATAATCTGAGAAGTTGGGTTATATGAAGAAAAACATGACATCAAGATTGGAGGAAGACTCATTAACAACCTTGTGATACGCAGACGATACAACCTTGCTTGCTGAAAGTGAAGAGGACTTAAAACATTTACTGATGAAGATCAAAGAGCACAGCCTTTGGTATGGATTGCATCTCAATGGAAAGAAAACAAAAATCCTTACCACTGGACCAGTAAACAACAACGGAGAAAAGAACTTCATTTTTCTTGGATCAACTATCAACACTCATGGAAGCAGCAGTGAAGAAATCAAACAATGTATTGCATTAGGCAAATCTGCTGCCTAAGACCACTTGAAAGTGTTGAAGAGCAAAGGTGTCAGCTTGAGGATTAAGGTGTACCTGACCCAAGCCATGGTATTTTCAATAATCTCATATGCATGCAAAAGCTAGACAGTGAATAAGGAAGACTGTCGAAGAATTGATGCATTTGAGTTATGGTGTTGGAGGAGAATATTGAAAGTGCCATGGGCTGCTAAAAGAACCAACAGATCTGAGTTGGAAGAAGTACAGCCAGAGTGCTCCTTGGAGGGCAAGATAGCCAAACTTCATCTTTCATACTTGGGACGTATTGTCAGGAGGAATCAATTGCTGGAGAAGGATATCATGTTTGGTAAGGTAGAGGTTCAGAGAAAAAGAGGAAGGCCCCCAGTGAGATGGATTGGCAAAGTGGCAACATCAGTGGGCTCCAGCATGGCAACAGTTGTGAGGTTGGCCCAGGACCGGGTAGGGTTTTGTTCTGTTGTGCATAGGATCGCAATGAGTCGGTATCGACTCAATGGCACCTAACAACAACAACAACATGGATTTGGAGCAGTGTCTAATGCTAGCCCAGATTATGTTATAAAGCTTGGGGATCCTCATAAGGCTGGGAGTCCTGCTGTCCCTAAAATCAATGGAGACTGTTCTTAAGTGACTTGCAAGGAGTCTCAGCCACATCCGATGGAGAATTTAGAGAAATGCAGTGTTTTTACGTTCTCTTCATTATCTGTGGACTGAACCAGACCTAACAACATTGTTTGGAAAACTTTATTAATTAAAATTGTTTTACATAAATACACGTTAATTCCTGCACTGCATCACTGAAACATTGAGTTGTCTTTCCTCATGGACTTTTGGCTGACAATGAAGCCTCCTGTGATCTCATCATTTTGGCAGCCAAAGCAGATGAAAGAAATATGCTGCTGTGAAAACGAGCTGTTCCATTTAATGTGCAAAATTGATCATTTTAATGGTTGCAGAGACATTTCTGCTGAGGAAAAAGAATATTATCCAGATCTGATACTGAGACTCGCAACCGCTGTTGAAGAAGTAGGTGTGCTGTGTCCCTTTATCTTGCTCTCCCTCTCTCCAGCATTACTGGTCATGTTGCCCTTTTTTAAATCTTAGTATTATCAAGCACACAGCAAATTGTTAATGAAGTACTATGAGGTGAACACCCTGTAACCACCACCCATGTCAAGAAACAGAACTTTCCCAACCTCCACAGAGACTCCTCCACGTGCCCCATCCCTATCACAGCTTCCCTCCCACCTCTAAAAGTAGCCTCTACTCTGACTTATAGGAGTGTGCGGGTAGCATAGTGGGTGAAAGGGGAAAAACAACCCCGGTGCCCCTCATCAACCACACCTCTCTCCAAATGGCCCATCTAGAGAGCTTTATTCAGGGTGAGAATGATAACCTCTGCCGGAGAAAGAAGGCAGAAGGCGGAAGGGAGGAGAGAAAGAAGGAAGAGAGAGTCAGCGGGAAGGGAAGGGAGGGGATTTATATAGGTTCAACAGGAAGGGAGTGGTCATTGCTGGGGTGATTTAGCTCTGGCCTAACAAAAGCCATGTTGTCCTTTAAACTATGTGCCTTGTAGCTTTGGGCGGGAAAACAGACAAAATGGAGTTGGAGGGAGGGGAGAGGGAAGAACCGGAAGGTATTGTAACAGTGGATGATGGATGAGCTGGGCTACTCATAACAGTTCGTATCTACCAACCACTCCGTAGGAGAAAGATGATGCTTCCTTCTCCCGTAAAGCTTTACAGCCTTGGAAACCCTATAGAGGGGTCCCTGTGAGTTGGAACCAACCCCACGGCACACCATCACCACCACCACCCTGAATTTTAAGCACAGTGCATTAAGCATTGGACTACTAACCACAAGGTCATCAGTTAGAACCAGGCAATCGCTCCTCGGAAGAAACATGAGACCGTCTGCTTCCAAAAAGATTTTCAGTGTTGGAAACTATAAGGAACAGTTTGACGGTGTCCTGCAAGGTCCCCGTGAGTCATTGAACCAACTCAGTGGGTTGTGTGGTCTCCTTATATTTACAATGCTCACTTTCTCACCTCTTCTGATGATTTTCTGATTATGAGTTAATGGGATCTAGATCACTGTTGTTATGTGCCATTGAATTGATACCGATTCATTGTGGCTTTATGCACAAAGGAACAAAACTCTGCCTGATCCTGTGCAAACTCAGTCATTGTTCTGCTTCATCCCATAGCCACTGCCACTGTGCCTGTCCATCTCATTGGGGTCTTCCTCATTCATTCTGATCCTCCACTTTACCAAATATGATGTTCATATCCAGGTACTGGTCCCTCCTGATACTGTGTCTGAAGTATTAGAGATGAAGTCTAGCCATCCTGACTTCCAAGGAGCACTCTGGCTGTACTTTTCCCCACACAGATTTGTTTATTCTTCTAGCAGTTCATGGCACTTTTAAGATTCTTCTCCAGCTCCATAACTCAAATAGGTCAATTCTTCTACAGTCTTCCTTATTTATTGTCCAACTTTCACATGCATATGGGGCTTTTGAAAATACCGTGGCTTGGGTCAGATGCTGCTAGCCCTCAAACTGACATCTTTGCTCTTGAACACATTGAAGGGGTCTTTTATGCTACAGATTTACCTACTGTTGTTGTTGTTAAGTGCCGTCAAGTCGATTCTGACCCATAGCGACCTGTATAGGGTTTCCAAGGAGCAGCTGGTAAGCTTAAACTGCCGAACTTGCAGTTCAAACGACTTTGCAGTCCAGCGCATTAACCCACAACGCCATACACCTAATGTCGTATGTCATTTGATTTTTTGATTGCTGCTTCTATGAGTGTTCATAGTGGATACAAGCAAAATGAAGTCTTTGACAACTTCCTTAGGTACCATTGACTCTTGATCATATGCTACCTTTTGAAATGGTTGAACAGACCACAGTTATTTTTGGTACAGTGACTCTGTATTCCTTTGATCTTCCTTTAATGCTTTCTGCATCATACAATATTTTGCCCATTGAATGTTTCAATATTACAAGTCATGACTTGAATTTTTCTTCAGTTTTTTTCAGCAGTGACTTTAGTGGTTGGTAGAAAAATTTGAATAATAGT